CCGGCCCGCGTAGCCGCGCCGCGTCTGTGGGGTGTGCGAGTGTGTAGCCCGCCGCCAAGCTTCCGACGGGAAGCTAGTGCGAGAGGCCCTAGCCCTGGGAACCCAGCTGTGCGTTAGCGTGAGAGCTTCTGGAGTTGTGTCCTCCGTGGCTCGGACTGTGTAGGACACAATGCTAGGATCCCGAGAGTGGAGGAAGCCCCAGAATCCTAGGTGTTAACTGTCTGGGTTGTGTTTAGAATTCCTTTAATGAACAGGTTATCGTCAGGGAGAAAAGATTAGGTATGCGGCCCGGAGCCTACGGAAGAAGGCCAGCCTTGCAAAAGAGGGGCCTGTGTTCTTGTTTTGAGGTCCAGCTAGCATAAAGGTTCAGGGAGTTAACTGATTAAAACCCTCGTAAGGATGCTAGGTGTCCTAACCAGGAGTCGCTCAGACTCTTGACCAGAAAGAAGCAGGTGGAGGAGGTCCACAGAGACCCCAGCTCCAGGAAGCCGGAGGTCTGTGGCTCAGACCTTTGCAGACCTGGCCTCTCTGTGCTGTGTGGCCCCAGGGCTCCGCCCCTCTCTGTTTCTCCGTTTCCACATTGTAGAAGGAGGAAATTGGTCTGGGTGGGCTATTTGTTAATGTTTACCCCGACCTAGAAATGCCTAGAGGGGACATCAATGTAAACAGTGCAGCTAATATCCAGTGGGTGTGTGGACCAGGTTGAACACAACAGTGGAGTTGGTGTTAACGAACCCACTCTGGAGATCGCCCAGGGGCTCCCCTTTGTTGTGAAAATGTAGTCTTCAGGCTGTTCGAGGTGGGTGTCAGTAGCACCGGCCACTAGGCAGAGGGAACCCAGAGCAAGGGGGAGAATCTCGGGGCCGAAGCTCCAGGGTAGACAGCCAGAAAGGAACCATTCTGTACCCAGAAGGCCTTTGCTATCTCAAGTAAGGATCTTCCATGTTCCAGAGTGTTCTGAACGGCGAGATGGGTCGGAGCAGGCCCTTAGGAGAAGAGTTTCTTATCTGGGAGTTGTGCTGTGACTCAGGTCCCCTACTCTTCGCTTTCCCCGCACTGCGATTCCCATCTCTTCCTCCAAAACCCCACCTTCTTCCAGAGGGCGCAGTGGGTTTTCCTAAGGTCTGCTTAGTACCGCAGCGGCTTAGAGCAGAACTCTAGAGATCGCTGCGGGGTAACTGGCTTGGGAGGCAGGGATGGAACAAAAAGCACACTCCCTTTGGGTAAGGCGAATGGATGGAGAGGGAGATGAGCCACAGCCAAACGAACGGAATAAAAGGGAAACGAAATCTCGGGGAGAATGGCTAGCGGCCCATCCGACCTCCTGCCTCTCTCGCCCCTGCAGACGCCGGGTCCGGAAGACAGCCCTCGCTGCGCACGCACGTGCACAAGCAGGCGGAGAAGACGACCAGGGTGCGGACTGTGCTCAACGAGAAGCAACTGCACACCCTGCGGACATGCTACGCCGCCAACCCGCGGCCCGACGCGCTCATGAAGGAGCAGCTAGTGGAGATGACTGGCTTAAGCCCACGGGTCATCCGCGTGTGGTTCCAGAACAAGCGTTGTAAGGACAAGAAGAAGTCCATTCTTATGAAGCAGCTACAGCAGCAGCAGCACAGCGACAAGGCGGTGAGATGCTAGCGGTGGCAGGGAGGCGGGCGGTGACTGCCACGGCATTCTGAGGCCTCTTTCTGGGGAGACTAGGCGGAACTGGACTCTCCACATAGCGTGGCACCCACATCTTGGGAGAAAGGCTGGCCTTGGGGTTTAAGTTACGGTGGTTAGTGGTGGTGTCTTGTGCCAGCGACCCCCAGAGTTGAGGGGTCCTAGGCTCAGAGATGACCAGGTGGTGTGGTTGGGACTGCCAGTGTCGTTTTTCTTTGTCAGGGCTCGATCTAAGGTGTCTCTCCTTCCCCCTCACCCCCATACCTGGCTGGGGAAGCTTCCGTTTCCCTGGCCTGGTATTTGGCTCCCAAGAGTGAAACGGGTGGCAGGTTTGAGGGCCCTGGGGTGTCTTCACTGCGGAATGGGGATGCGTTGTGTGCAGTCAGTGTGCCTCCTCACATCAATGCAAACCCCAAATCGCTCTCCAGAGCCTGGGGCTCCATGCTCAAAAGTGGCACAAAAGCCAAGACCTAATAACTCTAATGCCTTGTGCCGTCTGCTTGCCCCTTAGAGTCTCCAGGGACTGACTGGGACGCCTCTGGTGGCGGGCAGCCCCATCCGCCATGAGAACGCGGTGCAGGGCAGTGCAGTCGAGGTGCAGACTTATCAGCCGCCTTGGAAAGCGCTCAGCGAGTTTGCACTCCAGAGTGACCTGGACCAACCCGCCTTTCAACAGCTGGTGAGGCCCTTTCGCTAACTGCCCAGTGGGAGTGCAGTGGAGGGGACTTTGCATGAGACGAGGGGCTTGGGGGACAAACCTGGCAATGGGGAAAGCCTGCTGAGCCCGCAACCTCGCTGCTACACTAAACCTGGTTTTGATGTTTCTCACCCGGCCCCAGTTCCCCTGTGCCAAATGGGGACCTGGCTCCCTCTCCTCAGGGTTTGCTCAGGCGGTGGCTTGTCTGCAAGGAACACACCGGGTCTCTGAGCAGGTGACTCAGGAGCCACGCTCGCGCTCGGGCGTGTGTTCACTTGTTCTACCGCGGTGTCTCTGCCCTCCCAGGTCTCCTTCTCCGAGTCTGGCTCCCTAGGAAACTCCTCCGGCAGCGACGTGACCTCTCTGTCCTCACAGCTCCCGGACACCCCCAACAGTATGGTGCCAAGTCCCGTGGAGACGTGAGCGGGGACCCCATAGCTGCCAGCCCGCGGACCTCGCATGCTCCCTGCATGAGACTCACCCATGCTCAGGCCATTCCAGCTCTGAAAACTCTCCGGCCCTTGTAATTATTGTTGTTATTTAAAAGCGAGGGGGCAGAGGCAGGAGACCGCGACAGGACGGCCAGAAGAGCGGGAGGCGGCAGCCTGCCCCGCCCGGACTGGAGACTCCTGCTCCGAGGACTTTTCTTTTTTTTCCCCAAGTAGAATTTGGGACTTGCTGGCTTAGCTCCGCCCTCGCGTGGGGAGCTGACACTCAGCTTCTCCGCGCCCCGCTCGCCCAGGAACCCATCTCTGCGTGGGCCACAGGGCCCTGCCCTCCCTCGTGGGAACTGCTCCGGACTCTGCCTGCTCTGACTCGAGGCTTTGCACTGGCCCTGGCGGCGAGGAAGACGGGACAACCCCAAGGAACAGACACAACCCCCAAAGCGCATGACTGCCGGACAAAGTAGAAACCAGACTGTCTTTAAAAAAAAAATGTTTTAAATTATCAGTCGACGGAGGACAGTGAGAGCCTTTGCCGAACAAACGTAAGTTATTGTTATTTATTGTGAGGCGAATAGTGGGACGAATATTTTGATCTTAATAAAAAACAACCCGATGCCATGCCGCTCCTGTGTGCTGTTGGCTCCCGGGAGCCAGGCGACCGCCACTTCACAAGTGGGCCTCAAGTGAAGTTTCAGCTTCACCCGCCCCGCCCACCCTCGTGCTGCGGTGCAGTCGGCGCCCGGACGGGTGTGCCCGACGGGGATTGGGCACCGACGGGGCGGG